GTACATAATGGGTTGTGTCTGCTTTGTGATTTCATATACTTAGTATGTTTTATACTTGTATTAAGTTAACGAGTGGGATAAAACGAGCAACAAGTCACCACAAGTTAGTGACAAACTATAGTAATAACTTGTGTTGGGAAAATTGATTTTTATTTTATTTTATTTTATATTATTCTAACTAAATTGGGTGCCAATTTAGATTCATATCACTGTTAGGTTGAGTCAAATCTATTGTCATTTAAAATCAGATCAACTACTACAAGCATCTCTCACAGGCTAAATCAATCTAACAATGCAAGTCAACACCTAAGAGTAAAGGGAGAGGTAAGTGAATCCCTATTCTCAAGCAAATGTAGTAGGTGGGCTTCAAACTCGTGACCTCAAAGTCATAGCTCGTAAGGTAAAATCCATCAAGTCCACCAAACTTGCTTGGTATTGACTTTTATTAAAAGTGATGCATTTGTTCGTAGTCAATCAATCTAAGAAGAGAACTAATACGTATTGTTAATTTTGTGATAATTGTGCCATGTAGGGGATTAATTATGATTCATGCTCGAAAAAAGGTGGTTTTGGGCCTTTGGGCAAGCCTATAACCATTCTTTTAGTTAAACACCCAATCCGATCCAGAAAAGCCCAAAAAGTTCGTTTTAACTAGAGGTGTCAATTCGGATGTTCGGATCAGGTCGGATTATTTTTCAAAGTTGAGTCATACCAAATTATGAGTCGAAATCTAAATCGGATATTTTTTGGATCGGATCGGGAGAGATTTTGACACCTCTAGTTTTAATTAGAAAAGTCCACCACTTTTTGCAAATTTAGACATGAAATTTGATGTTAATGTCCGGACTCGCCCGAATTTATTATCACCCTAGCCATGTGGCTGATTACGAACCTTGAACCCTCCGTACTTGGTATTTGGCATGAGCTCCAATCGTTCAATTTGGCCCAATGGCTCAAACAGCCTAAACCCTAGAGTACCAATTTCCCTCTCTTCCTGTCGAGCAAAACCCCCCAACATTTCCAGCAACAACAAACACTGCAAGTCTGCAACTTAGCTTCAACCCATCAACAATGGCGTCTAGACGATGTTTCTCCACTCTCACCCGCCATTCTTTCAACCCTCTTTTCTTCTCCAAATCTCCCTCTTTTCACTCCCTCAAATCCCTAACTTCTCACCTTCCTTCTCTTCAACGCCTCCCTCACACTCTCTCTCCTCAATTCAGCCCTCATTCATTCCTCCCTCGCAGCTTTTCTTCCCGCACCCAAAACCCTAAAATCATTGAAAATGACGACGATGAAGACGACGAAGACGAAGAAGACGAAGAAGAAGATGATGATGATGAGGAAGAGGAGGATTATTCAAGCGTAGAAGAGGTAGAAAGATCAAATGAACCATCCAATCTTGCTGATAGATCGTATTTTGTTGAGGATAAACTCGAAGAAGCTGCTCATATTGGGTACAAGGTTGTCGGGCCGCTTCTACCAACTGATCGGGTTTTTAAGCCCTATGAACCCGCTTTCGCAGTTGTTCAGGTTTGATTTTTATTTTTGTAAGTTTTGTTTGAAATTTTGTGTGGTTTGTTTTTAGGGTTTAATTGGGGTTTTTGATTTGTTTTGGGGTGTAGGTGGGATCACATCAATTTAAGGTGAGTAATGGGGATTGCATCTATGTTGAGAAGCTCAAGTACTGTGAGGTCAATGATAAGGTAATTCGTTTTTTCTACTTGATTTTATGTTCAGTGATTGATGATTCTATCAATAATAGATTATAAATTGGTGTTGCATTTTGGGGTTTTGGTTTCCGGGGAGTTGATGTGGTATGCTATGATGATGTAGAGAAACTCCAGGCATTGAAATGCAATGGTTTTATTGGCTAGACATGAACATTGCCTATCATAGTAGGTGTGCTGACTTGTTTGGATTTTGAAAGGTTTATGCTGGTTTTTACTTTGATCTGTATGTTGATCTTCACCATTGGTGTTTAGAATTGCTTACTAGCTACTCTATAATTCATAATGATCGTGTCGAACTTGAAACTTTGAAAGTATGCTACTTTTTGGGAGTGGAACAACTGCGAAGCAATTAGAGACAACTGTGATTATATAGTCTACTCTGCATTTTTAGGTTGGGGTGGGAACTCCCTTTTGGATAAGGTATGGTGTCGTCATTTAGCTGTTAATTGAGCGGATATCAATATCCCTCCTATGGTGAAGCAATGAATGTTTAGTACATGGGAGCTGCTTTTCCAACTAGGAACTGTGAGAGTGAGTGAGCAAAAAGAAACTGAAAAAAATAATGGTTGATAGTTCAATATTATCAACAGAAACAGAAAACCAAAGCTAGATTAGCTTAGATGGGTTGAATTAGTATTGGGTTAATGAGTTGATCTCGGTCCTTTTGCTCTGAAGAGAATTTTTGATTGATTATAGTATGAAGGCATAGGGACTTGACAAGGGTGCTACATCTTATTTACCCTGCATTTGTTGTTTTTGTGGAGGATCTTTAAGGTCCATCCTTTATCAATTTTGATGAAGTCCTTATTTTGCTGCACTTAAAAGAGCAAATATATAATTGTGCTAGCTAAGCAGACTGCCTAATTATGGGTTGTTTGTTACTTTGTTACATTGGTGGTGAACTTGACTTGTTAGTACCATAAGCAACCAGTGTCTTCCTGACTACCTATTCCTATCGTGTCTTGAAAATCCTAGTTTCATGCTTTCTGTTACGTCTTGAAGTGCTCTACAAATTGGTGATCCTTACTTTTCAAATCAGTTGAACATATACTGAAAGAGGAGACTGAGCAAGTGTATACTTGTCAGCAAGAGTGATGTTGAGTTTTACAAGTGTCACACATGTCCTCAGACTTTAAACTTTCACAACTTATGCTTGAAAAGATTGAAGGTTTCCTTACCTGCATGCCCTGATTTTAGTGTCTGTGCAAAATAACTTTTATTTCCCTACTTTATCAAATTGTTCCTCACAGCTACTTTCCTCATATCGTACCAAGAATTCAGATTGGTTGTGCTCATCATTTCGGTATTTTGCAGTTGATCTTAAATAAGGTCTTGATGGCGGGTACACCAACCCAAACCATGATTGGGAGGCCTATATTACCAGAGATTGCAGTTCACGCTGTTGTAGAGGAACATGTAAGAAATTTTTGGAACTTAATTTTTTTATATGTTAATCAGTTGTTTCTGGGCTTATATTGCCACTTAATGTTTGATCATCTCTATCTCATTTATCTGAACAAAAGGTGGTTTCTGCTTCTGATTTAATTTTGGCATGGTTATTAGTGATTTTTGGCATGATAAACCTCAATGCTGTCTGCATATGATCTCATGTTCTGTAGTATAATAGTTGAAAGCGAGATTTGAACACCTGTGGAAATAATTGAACTTATGACCTCTGGACGTGAGGTCTAAGGTCTATATAAGAGAACCTCTAATTCAAAAGAAACTACATCATACAGTAAAATATATCATCAGGTTGTTGATTATTCCGATCTGTTGAATTTACTATTTTACTGTTTGTAAAAGAAATGTATTTGCAAGGCAATTAATATTTGACATGAAAGTTGAATTTGGATGAGTTGCAGGAATATCTGATTTAATTGTGAATTTGGAGTTATTATAAGTTAACTTTCTCATTTTCAGGCTTTAGATGCCAAGGTTATCATCTTTAAAAAGAAGCGGAGAAAGAACTACAGGAGGACCAAAGGTCACCGACAGGTAATGCAAAACTGAGATTCATGAAATCATGACATTACTCAACCTCCCTCATGCATGGCCTTGTTAACTGACAGTTGCTAATGTTTAAATGGACTTGCAGGAGCTCACTAGGTTGAGAATAACTGACGTAGAAGGAATTGAGAAACCAGAAGCACCACCAGTAGGGAAAACACCAAAAACTTCTGCTAAGAAAGTAGAAAAAGTAGCAGTGGCTGCATAATTGGAGTTTCACATAGTCAATGTGACAACTGGTCTGATAAGCTGATGGTTTGAGGCTCAACTCTTGCAAACTGATACAGGATTTCCATGTCATGTTTTATGAATTAATGTTACATGAGTCATATAAGCAGAAAGTTTTGGTTCTTGACCATATGTTAGCATTTGATTTTATCAAATCTTGTAGGCTTGTAGGTGTATAATTTGTTCAATTCATAAAACCATCTTGTAATGCGTGCAATTCTTCTACCCTGAATGAAAGGAGCAGGAGTTTTGCTGAAAAGGCTCAAAGGAGTTCAATATTGTAGTCTTTTTGATAAAGTTGCTGTTAGATTTATGGATGATTTGTTTGCCTGTGGCCAGTTATTCATAGATTAATTTCAATAATGTGAGAAATTAAGGAAGTGATATTTCCGACCTTGTTGCATATCATTTTATTTACACAAGTATTAACTAGGCGACTGTTGTTCCAACCCTCTTCATCCTTACTTTTTGTTCTTGCAAGATTGTGGCTATGAAATAAAACTCTAATTTTCTGCAAGATTGAGATTATTTTAGGTGTATTTCTACTCTTGATATTCACACAATGTCTTTAAACAAAGCTAGGAAAAAGAGTAATAAGAAATAACATTATATATTCCTCTAAATTTCAAACTCATACACTGTTATCAAACTAGGATTCTAATTGAACGAGATGATTGCAAGCTGATAGTTGTTAGGATCTGCTCAAAATCTTCGCTTGACTTGTGCTAGGATCTGCTCAAAATCTTCGCTTGACTTGGGCTCACAATAAAATTATTGACTTATTCATAAGCTTAGCTTATCAAGTCGAATGAAAGTTTGCTCAACTCATCCGTGTTAAATAGAATCTTGAGCAACAATCGCCAGAGTTGAGCTGCTTGTGGCTTATGAGCTACTTACGGTCTCATTCCTTTTGTCTTAGAGCATCAATAATGCACTAGTTCTTAAAATGTGGTTCTTATTCTCTCTCTTATTCCATATCATCAAGAATTCCAATTAAGATTCACCCTCTATGTAACCTAAGAAATGCAATAGTTCTTAATACTATATCTTAACCTCTGACAAAGCTAGCTTTTACTTTTTAAAAAATACAAGCCATGCAAAACATACAAATTTCGGTAGTAGCAAATGTCCTTTTGAGCCTAATCATCAATGGTTCTTATTTTTAAGATCCATTGCTTATTTCAGAACCCTCAACCACAATAGCTAAATAAGAAACTCTCATCTCTTACCTAAGAACTAGCTCTTATATATTATCTTTCCTTAAAAACCACTCATTATTGATGCTCATACTCGGACACAACTTTATAAGGATAAAAAGTATTTTACACACTATTGAAAAAAAAAAAAAAAAAAAAAAATGATACTCGGTAGAAAAGAACGGTAAATATTGAATTTAAATCCAACAATCCATTTACTTGCATTTCACAATTCACAAAACCCCTTCAAACCCAGGAAAACCTCTGTAATTTCAACCTAGCGCCAAAAATGGGGAAGAACGGCAAGAAGCAGAAGCATCAACAGAAACCTTCATCTCGTCAAAGACACTCTCATTTTCCTCCAGAAGATGAACATTACCCTCCTCTTTCTCTTTCCAACAGCGATGAAGAGACCTCAGAAGAGGATGAAGAAGAATCTGAACCAGAAATTCAGCAAAACCCTTTTTCTGATGAGTCAATTCCTTCAAAGTTCTCTCTTTATCAACAATCTGTTCAGGTATCATTCTTAATTTAAAGAAATTTATGTTAATTGAATTGGGTATTTTGTTAGAATTTTAATTGGGTATTTATTTGTTTGTTTCTTTGTTAATGTAGTCACCAAAAGGGGATATAAGCTATTTGCAGAAGTTCTTCTTGATATATGTTGGTGGGAGAGCTCCTCTTCATCTACAGGAGGATTTTTGTGGCACTGCTCTTCTTAGGTAAAATTTATTTTTGCTTTATTTAAGTATGATTTTCTTGAAGGGAAGAACTTAAAAGTTGTCTAAAATTCTGAATAACAAATGGGAACCACTTTGAACAACTATGATGTATAGATTTTGGGAAGTTCTTTGAGTACATTGAGATACACTAATATACACATGTTATCGGAACTAGAACACTTCATAATTAAGCATTTGACACAAGTTGATTATAAACCCTTACAATAGTTTGGAATGTGAATTTTTGAAGGGCATTGTAACAGCGTAAAAGAGTACTGGGACTCTGGGAGTATATAGTGCGAAGTTCATCATTTTGGTATCTGCTTTCTTTTTCCCTTAATGTCCGAGCATTTTAGGGCTATGTTGCTTAGAACAAGTTTAGAGTGTTAAAGATCATGTGGGAATTGAGAAGTGAGACATATGGTTAAGGTGTTTTCTTTTTTCCTTTTAAATTGGTGTTTCTTCCTTCCTTATAGGGTACCTATTTATTCAATTCTTTGAAGTAGCTCTCATGTTCTGCTTTCTTTTACTCTTCTGACTGGAATGATTTTAGCTTCTTTTAGGATTGTATCTAAATTAATTAGTTGACATGGAAAGCTATGATATTAACAAGAATGTAAGAATACGGTCTTGATAACTCATGTAATTTGATTCCTGAATATTCATCGATCTAGATTAGAGTGTATAGTAGTGCACTACTTAGGCTGCATTCATTCTAGGACTGGGGAAACTATAATGTTTTAGCTCCTCAATTATACTGATAATAGTTTTTCTCACACAAGCCGCTGTGATAATGTAATATCATGTCACCAACTTGCTTATAATGTTAAATGTAATCAGGTATGAATGGATATGATCTATGATCATCATGGCTGCTGTTTTTCTTGTTATCTCTCGTTAATCGTGTTTATATGGTTTCCCTTTATATGGCGTGCTAAACAAAAAATGACTTTTATGAATGAAAATCCATCCCCTTAGTTTTTTTACATGATACCAAACCAGTTACATCACTTGTTTTCTTGCTAAAAAATGTTTAATTGCATTGTATTGTGATGTGCTAATGTGGAAAAAAACTCTCAGTAGTCTAAGTACAGTGATATGTGACCGAGTTTGCTCAAGTGCTATCAAATATTCCATATTATCATCCAGTCTAACTGTCTAAGTGTTCTGCAATGTGTTGACAGTACAGAGTGGCTTCGAACTGATCCTCGGAGGACTGCTATAGGTGTAGATTTTGACCTTGATTCACTCATGTGGTGCATGGAGAACAATGTTGACAAAGTTGGCAGTGATATCCGTTCCGGAATCTCTCTTTTTCATGGAAATGTTTTGCAGCCTCTTGAGGCTAGAATTGTCAAATTGAATTCTGAGGATCTGATTCAGAAAGTAACTATCCAAGAGAGTCAAGATGCCACACTTAAAAATCCATCAGAAAACTCTCTGAAATCGGCAGCTTCAGTTAGTGGTGGAATTTTGAAAAAGGATTTCTCATTGCCTGCAAGGGATATTGTGTGTGCTTTCAATTACAGTTGCTGCTGCCTGCATAAGCGGAAAGAGCTTGTTGCTTATTTCAAGTATTCCCTTGATGCTTTGTCTAAGAAGGGTGGTATATTTGTCATGGATTTATATGGTGGTACTTCATCTGAGCACGAATTAAAGCTCCAGAGGAAATTTCCCAATTTTACGGTATGCGTATAACACTTGCTAGATCTAGATTTTGGTGGATCAATATAACTATGTGATTTGGTTTATAGCTTTGGGAGTTTGGGATGCAGTTAAAATGAAAGGGAGAATTTGTGATTTACTTTGTAGTTGCCTTTTCCTGATGAGTGGTACTAAGTGTTATTATACTTTTATGACATGGTCTTTTTTTTTTTTTCATTTTTTTGTAAAGCTATATGATTAACATATTTCCATATAATTCTAGCTACTTTCAGGTATGCTGAATCTTCCTAGAGATTGAAATAGTGAGTTATGAGACATGACTGATAAGTGATAACTAGTTATTTTGTGCTGCTTGTTAAACATAGTAAACTTTTGTTTCACTTATCATTTTTGTTGGAATTTAGACCAGTACCTTACTACCTTTCAATGTGGACTATTGAGGTTGGTTATCTACATATCAGCTGTTCATGGACAAGTAGCATGCTATATATGTCATTAGGATTATACAGGGAAAAGATTATATTGTGCCTTTTGGTTTCTACAAGTTAAAGCCTGTATGTCAATTCATGAAGATGTGTAATTGAATATGATGATAGTTACCATAGCAGGTCATGCAATATAAAACTAGTCCATAATTATCTTTTGGCTGTGATTAGTATTAACATTGGTCAGTTATTCTTGCTGCTTGGCTCTGCTATCCAGGGGAGTGTAATCTCCGTGATGTGCTTGAATATGCAGAACAAAATCTATGACATTTTTTTTTGCACGGGTGCTTATAAGAAGGGTGCAGAATCTTTCAAAATCAATTTTTGATGGCTCTTATGGCTCATAACACATGACATTGCCTGTCCACTCCCAAAACATCTGTTTTTCCCATCAGTTGTGACCATTTTAGAGATGTTATTGAGTGATAATTAAAGTCTATATTGAAAAGAACATGTTTGCGGATAAAGTTGCATACTCATGAATATTATCATGAGACTTTTCTAACAAAATTACATTTTTAATTCATGAACATAAATCCCAATTATTATTGGCTTTATTGCCTACCAAACGGGTTGTAAATGTGTTTCTGATGACTGAAAATCCTCTCTTATTTGTACTTATCTGTAATAGCCCATATATGTTCTTCTATAGCTAACCATCTGAGTATCTTTTGTATGCAAAGTGAGGTGTAGTAATATAATTTGGCTACTTTTTTGTAGTATACATGGGAGCAAGCAGAATTTGATGTTATCCAGCGGAAGACCAGAATTAGTCTTCACTATCAGCTCCACAAGCCACAGAAAAAAATTCGCAATGCCTTTTCTTATAGCTGGAGGCTGTAAGTAATTTCCTCCCTCCTGAATTTGCTCTTCATATTATGGGATAACAGTGAAAAAGTTGCTTATGGCTTACACTTCTAATTAAATCCAGGTGGTCATTGCCTGAGATAAGAGACTGTTTGGAAGAGGCTGGTTTTCGATCTATTCATTTTTGGATAAGAGAGATGCCTGACACTGAGAGAAACAGAAGTAGTCGGGGATTTGGTTCCTCAAGAGATGATAAATACGAAGAGGTCTCAAGTTTCCAGCAGCAAGATGCTTGGAATGCCTATGTCGTAGCAGTTGCTTAAGTATATCTTCAAATCCCTACAACACATTGGTAAAGGCTACAATGAGGAAAGTTAATGTCATGAGAAATAGTGGTATGCTATCTTCCCTGCGAAACTTGTTGAAAAAGCATTATGTTTTTGTCTCTGATTCTAACCTAGATTTAGGAGTCTTGGACTTTCAGTTTAGTGGATATTTGATGTGTTTCTTCTTGTGACCAAAAATAGATTTGTATGCCTAGAAGCTCATTGTCTCACTCAAAAAGTTGTGCTTTGGACACTTGGACCCTAGTATTCTTAATTTTTTTTTATAAATTTGAGTAGGCAGGTTATAAGCAAACCGGTGTAGGGGCTTGCATTGGACAATTTATATTTGAACTGTTGCTCACTTACTCTGTACCCTAATATTCATTTATTCATATGTAGATCAAATGAAAAAAATTGGTTTTCTTTAAGAGTTTAGCTAGGGTTGAACATTTATTTATATTTGAACTATCATTTCACGTTCCATGAGAACAAGCGATCTCCATTACTGTATTCGATGTGTATTGTGTTTAACCTTATTGCTAATTTGCTAAACATTCCAGTTTCAAGGTAACTAATCAATACTCTTATACTGAGTGTAAACTTATTACTCCATTTAGTGATTATTGTCCTAGGCGCAAGCCAATTTAGTTAGTAGAGCTGCAGAGGTAATGCTCCTTGAACCACACTTGGAATTTAGACTGCAGGGGAGTGCTGTGAGTCCATGGCCATTTTAAGTAGATTGTTATTCTTAGTTCTTCCAAATAAGTTCAGTAGAAGTTACTCGGAATTTTTATATTATCCCAAGTGTTTGTGCCAGGGCCAGTGCCAGATCCTTGATGCTTAGCGGCTTAGGTATGGGTATTGGCCTATCGGGTAGGACACTTCAACCTTTCATTTTGGGCCAAAATCATGGATAGATTTCACAAAATAGCCTTGGACATGTACCCGACTACCCGTATTGAACAAGAGTACCCAAGTTTTAGCAAAATAGGCTGCTGCCATTGCCACAATGCTGTTGCCACAACACGTAGACTGGTCAAAAGATGGATTTTTTTTTTTTTTTTTCTTTTTTTTCTAGAAGCATAAATATTGAGTAGTAGAAATTGAAAAGTAAGTTGAAAGAGAGAAAAATAGAAAAAGGCAGCAAAATACAAACTTAACAAGCAAGTTGAGGGATGTTAGCATTGAGATGATCACCTTTTAATCAGTCAATTACATTCCATGCAAGTTTCACCATGTGTTGATTGTGCTCCCCTTCCCCACATGACCACATGCCTATATTCCCTGTACTCTTGGGACACACAATCATGCTCTAAACCTTTATCCTTTAAAAGCCGCCTCCCTGTTTTGGGAAAGTTTTCCACAATTTTTGGACCTTTTTTCAGTCAAGCAAGCTACTAAGTGTTCATGTATACTTCTTCTCAATGCGCGGTTCCAAAATAGTAGTCGTATTGTCCTAACTTTTCATAATTGATGTAAATGATATATTTCAAACCTCTTCATAATTCCAATTAAGCTAATTATATCTTTTTCTATCCGTTGTTGATAAGTTATCAAAGCTCGTATATGGGAGATAATACCCATTACTTTTAGTATAGTGTTAGTAAACCAACTTGACCACATTATCAGTTTCTTTTTTATTTCCATATTATCCATGATCCTGGTCATCTTCCCACCCATGACAGGTGAGAGTATAAGATGAAATGAGGGACCCTTAAAAAGAATGATAATGGGCTGAAAGTAATCCAAAAGACCAAACTTTAAAGGCCGGCTTGGAGTAAGCAAGGGCCCCTCATTATTTGCAAGCAATGTCCGTTATAATAAGAGTGGAAGGCAGCATGTTCCACGATTAGCTGATTGCCCTGAAAAATTGACTGGGAATATTAATTAATAATTACGCCACTTAACTAAATCTTCAATAATGATGCTCATCTTTCTCAACTTGATCATTTATTTATTGATTTAGGTCATGTTAATAATGAGTGGGACATTGGAGGAGCACGTATTTTATGTCTCACCTTCCTCACATATAGAGATATTTAATTATAAACTAAGGATTTGTTATCATCATATTATTTTTAGTTTTTTAAAGCTCTAATAAGTTCAGTTCCGTTCAATTCAGCTCATAATTTCCTTCTCTCATAAAATATTCAATTCAATTCAGTTCAGCTTAGCTCATTTCAATCAATGAGAACATACCCTCAATCTTTTACTCCATATAATTAGAAATTGACAACTGGGGTACTAGCAAAATAGCAAATATGCCAACAAACTGTTTGTCTATTTCTGACTCTCTTTCTTTGTTATGTCATGTTAAGTATAATTGTATAATTTGACCTCTCTTTATTAGTCTTAAAAGAAGAAAAAGTGGTCACTTATAATATAAATGAAATTATATTATTAAGTATGATCCATGCCATGTTTGTTTGTTTTTTTATTTTATTTTATTTTTTATTTATTTTTTTCTCGATATTTTTTTCTCATTGGGACGTTTTGGCTCACCAGTTCACTATTAGGTTTATGAAATCATGTATAATGAGAAGATGAAATTAGAGTAGTCACATTTTCCTTAAAAAGTAGATAAAACCAATGTATTCTTTGCTTCTCAACTTTGTTAATGTTGCACCATTTGAATTCTTAACCTATCTAGTTAGAGTTCAACTAAATATTGTAGACAATCTTTCATCTTCCAATATTTGTTTTATAGAGTATTTTTATTCCACATTTTTTTAGGGACCACTAAATTAATTCAGAAATAATGAATGATGTTGATTTTTTGTAAAAAAAAAATACTCCGTAAAATAATAAGGGAAGACATAGTAAATGTTCACCATTTTCTTTTTCTTAAACAACAATAATTGTTGATATATGGTTAGTTGGTCATGGACAAGGACTAGATCACAAATTTGTTGAAACTTACTAATCTTGGATCCTTTAGAAAATTAAGTTTGCTCTTGCAGACTGTTATTGGCTGCACTTTAAATCTGTTTAACCAAATGAAGCAAAGAGGAATTGCTATTTATGGGCTAACTTATTTCCTTCATTATCCTACAAAATCACTAAAATTAATTTATTCACCCATATATAGAATGAAACTATACTTTTGATATGAGCATTCTTTTCCTCTTTCACCTTTTTTGTGCCATGTTTAATGGGAATGAAAAACTTTTAATAAGTCTCATCAATCCTACGTGACATAAAGTTTGGTAAAACTCTTAATAATGCTAAAACTTTGTTAAAATTACAAAAACACACATTAATTAAATGAAGGCGTCATAAGGATTATGGTTTCATAAATTATTAGTAAATTTCTAAGCAATTTTGAGTATATCAATTATTAATACAAGTACTTTGTAGAATTTTATAGGATGACTTTTTAGAAATTCAAATGAATAAGTCTTCTTAAGAATCCATTCTCAAGGAGTAAAATAAATGTTTTTATATGTGAAAGTACAAGTAATATTCCTTGACATAAATTTAGCTAATTAAATCAAGCAAATTCTCAATGACTCAAATATTTATGGAGAAATCATGGAGTTATGATTTAATTTTTAAATTGAACCCTTCTTAGATGCCTATTATAAACCCATAATTATTCCTTCATTTTATAAAATAAAAAAATAATAAAAAAATGTCAACTCGTAATTCTTCTAAGTTTATTTTTAATCAAAAGGCGCTTGTACCTTATCAATCAAGGATGCTTAGGTTCGTGTTTCTGTAGTTATATTGACTAATTATTATTATTATTTATTTATTTATTTATTTATTTTTAGGAAAATTGACTAATTATTTTTCGTTACCTTGTCATTATGTCAAAAACAAAGAACCAACAAAAAAAAAAAAAAGACTTATTAATCTAGGTGATTTTTTCTTTGCTCTCTTTTAGTTATCCTCTTTCTCTTAAGTCTTAAGCCAGTCTTCTTTTTTATCCTTTTACTCGTGGAATCTTCCGTTCTAATGCATTAATACTACCCCATATGAACTACCGTGTAATTAGGATTTAGGACTATATTATATAAATAAATTCCCTCAAAATCATATTCCTGCTTTCAAAATACAAACCCACCCATTAATTCCTCTCAAAATCCCATCTCCCACACTTTCTCTCTCCTCTCAGCAGCCTCCAAAATCCATTCTTGCTCAACACTTTTGCTGTAAATCTGTATGTAGCAACCCCCTTTTTTTTTCTGCAAGTTTCAATCTTTATTTCTATAATTTCTTAACTTGCTACATTTTTTTAGTTTTAGCAGCACAAAATTCCTGCTTTAATATTAGTGAATATAAAGTTTGAATCTTGCTGCTTGATTTCAATTTATCTATAATTTATAGTACAGAATAAGTTAATTATTTTGAGGATTAGCTGAATGTTAGAAAGTGTAGAAGATGAAGAGTATATTTCAAAGCCAAAATCCAAAATTTGGGAGATCTATTCTAATGATTCACCAAAAACTCTAGCACATAATCTTATTAGGTCCACCGCCTTTTCATCACAACCCATGAAAAGGTCGGTTAGACCCGTCTTTAGTTTGTTGTTGTTCATTGTTGTTGCTGCAACTTTTGGTTGCAGGATTGCAATTAGAAATGGGTTTGGATCCATTTATGGTGAAGGGGATTATTCAGTTGGTAATGGTAGTGTAGATTCACCATTGGATTTGCATGTTTTTAACTCTACATTGCTTAGATTGGCTCAAATTGAGGTTGGTGAGGGTAAATTGAGGAAGGAGGTTGATGACTTGATGGATGGTAATTTTGGGAATATTGCTCGGCTTCGGACTTTCGCCTCGTGGCGGAGGTTCTTTAGGAGTGGGGATATTCGTGCTAGGACGTCGAGGGGGGTACCGGTTAATATCCGATCACCGGAGTTTTCTAAGGTTTGGACAACATTTAGGAGGTCTTTGGGTGATTGGTTTAGGAAGAAGAGGTTTAGTCCTGATATTATGGAGGAATTGATTGAGCTTGTGAAAGTTCCTATTGATAAGCATAATGGAGTGTTTGAGGGTGTAAAGAAGAAGTATTCATCTTGTGCTGTTGTGGGAAATAGTGGGATTTTGTTGAGTAAAGAGTATGGGAAGTTGATTGATAGTCATGAAGCTGTGATTCGGTTGAATAATGCTAGGATTGAAGCATATCGAAAGAATGTGGGTTCTAAGACGAGTTTATCATTCGTAAATAGTAACATCTTGCATCTTTGTGCAAGGAGGGATGATTGTTTTTGCCACCCATATGGGGTTAATACCCCCATTGTTATGTATATGTGCCAACCTGCCCAATTTCTAGACTATGTAGTGTGCAACTCGTCTCATAAGTCGCCCTTGATTGTCACCGATCCTAGGTTTGATATGTTGTGTGCTCGGATTGTGAAGTATTACTCACTAAAACGGTTTGCAGATCATCCGAACAAGACTCTAGAGCAATGGAACTCCGCCCATGATGGGTCTATGTTCCATTACTCTTCAGGTATGCAGGCTGTGATGCTGTCATTGGGAGTTTGTGATAGAGTTAGTCTTTTCGGGTTTGGGAAATCGACTGCTGCAAAGCATCATTACCATACCAATCAAAAGGCGGAGCTCACCTTACACGATTACTTGGCCGAGTATGATTTTTACAACGATTTAGTGGAGAAGTCTCATGCTGTACCATTCATCTCCAACAAGTTCAAGTTCCCTCCTGTGGAAATTCGTCGTTGACAAGTCTTTTGAAAGCTTCAAGTTCAAGTTCCGTCTTTTTTGTGGATTTTATTAATCGTAGTTTTAGTTTTTTCTTCATATACCCAAATCAATTAGGAACAGAAACAAATTCAGAACCCCAAGAGAAGTTTCTTGTGGTGATACTTTGTGTAATTTTGTTGGAACAACAACTGTGTAGTGTGTAGTGTGTGAATTTTGTGAAAAAACTCAAAGTCCCACATTGGTGGGAAATGAGAGTTTTACTCTCTTTATAATATAGAGAGTGGGCTAAAGGGGTGTGGCCCTTGGGCTACCCACATTTTGTGGAGAGGGAGGACCTATATGGTAAACCATCTATCACACAACTTATTTTTTGGACAAGGCTAATTGCGTGATTAGTTCCTTGATTTTTGCTAAACGTTTTTGACTGATTGCATTTGACCGTTTTTATTCAAAACTGATTAATGGAGCGTTAATCATGCAAACGTTTTACCTGATTTTTTGCTAAACGTTTTGCCACGCATTAATCTTCTGTAACCGTTTTGAACGTTCAACTTATGACCGTTTTAATTGCGTGATTAGTGCCTAATTAAACAGCAGCAGTTACGTTGCAATTTTTCCTATAAAAGGCGTGTTGATTTCCTGTTTTTGATACACAAAAAATACGAACAGCAATCTTCTTCTCCTCTCTATTTTTCCTCACAAAAACAAAACCCTCGAGCAGTTTCTTTTCTTTTTGGGTGTTTAGTTGCCCGGTGGTTTTGTGCAGTTCCACCGGTATAATTTCAATAGAGAAAGGCTGTTTTATCCTGGGGAACATCCGGTTTAGTACGAACTGCTTGCACCATTTCAGGGCAGTGCCGTGAATGTTCTAAAGAAAGCGACATAGTCCGCGACTCAGTCTATTTTTCGGTAACTTTGTTCTTACTGTTTTTGTTCCCGCAGTTCCGTTTATAACAAATTTTGAGTCCACACTTCCATGAGAGTGTCCAAGTGTATTTAGCTCATGATTTAAACAGTTGAAAAAATAACCGAGTCTTTAAATCTCGAATGTGTGCCATTGTGTTGTTTTTTGATTCCCTACTTTGTGTTTATTCAGCTTTACCAATTGTTGCACATAATATGAAATGAAAGAAGTTTGAATATTTGACCCTTAGGGTCTGTTTTGAAATGAAATAAATATTTTATGAGAAAAGGAAATTAGGAGCTAAACTGAACTGGTTGAAGCTAAACTGAATTGAAATTAAGCTGAAGTGAACAACCCTTAATCAAGAACTTTATATGACATCTTTGGATATTATTAATGGTTAATCCTCCACTTAAACAACTCATATCGAGATGAAGAGAATATAATACATTCAATTGATTGCCAATTTGAACAAATGACATGTGATCCTCACAGAAGAGGGGAAAAAAATGGATTCCAGGTAGATACACTCAGCAGCACGCCGTTGCGGACCCTAGGCATTGACCAATAAACCCTTAGTCGTCAATTTTTCAACTTTCCTTTATACGAGTAATGAAAGTCCCAACTTAGATCTACACCCACAAATTTCATATTTGACCATCTATATCTTACAGGTATTGATTATTTTACACATCATTTTCAGTTGTGTAAGCAAAGGTACTTGCTTTTAAGTTTTGACTTGATGATATATTTCCTTCTATATCTTAAAATTATTATGTTCCAAATTCGGGGATCAGTTCTAGGTTTCAGTCCCCTCCCGATTGTTGTTGCGGGGGATCGAACACGAGTCCTCCTACCAAGTGTAATCCCAATCACCACTACACCAACAACCAATTGGTTCTAAAAATTGCTATGTACCAGTATATGTTTTTTGATAGTGTAACTCTTGGCAAAAAGATTTGTACATACAAGCACAGTTAATCACGTTCCTTCTAGCATATGGGTCGATACTGGCTCGAGCAATGGCTATTTTATCAAGAAAACTGACCAAATGTAAGGGTCGATAACTGGAATTCTATAACTACTTTTGTAACATACTAACATCTTAAAAGTTAGAACATATCAGGCAAAGATTTAATAAAACATCAAGCAAATTAATTAGTGGATGAAAAAAACCGAGCTGAATTTCCAGCAAAAGATCACCAAAATGGGTCTGTTTCCATTATATACCAGAACTACAAAAGAAACATTCATACAGTTCCATTCTACTGATTCTGTTACAACAAAATATAGACTACTTTACTAGTGTAGTCTCTTTTGAACCCTTAGGAGAATTAAACATAGCATATAACTAGTTAACTATCTACGAAATAGCAAAATATTATCCATCCATATAAACCATCCTCGGTAGTGGAACCACCTGAGGGAACCGCAACAAGGGGGGATGCAGCATGGGCGTGCCCTTGTATCGTTGGCTCATTGCTTCTGCACCCACTTGATCCCCCTCCAAAAAACTGGTTTTGAATTCAAGCCATCACTCCCTTCTCACTCTGCCTTCTCTATGTACTTAACAGCCACCAAAAAGCTTATCTTAACCTGTAACAACATATTCTCATTAGACGCCGAATACTTCACTTATTACAAAACACTTGCACATATTACAACCGAAAAATCAAAATTTAGGTTGATTTAAGGCACTATCTTGTTACCTGGTTAGGATCATAAACAGCATACTCATTGAAATCCAAAATACTTTCTTTTGGTTCAGGTGATGCTGTGACTAATTTCCCACAGGGTACCTTGATATCATCCTTCCAAACAAAATGCTCCGACTCATCGGTTTTCTTCCTCCCTAACCCTTTCACTCCTACCTTCCTCTCCTCCAAGGACTTTGTATCCTCTGGAGGGCTCTTAACTTCAATTACTTCGTCCCCTAGAGATGCTACTGCTAGTACTAGGAATCCTTCTGGCCTGTCGATTGCTGTGAATCCATACCTTGCAGCTTCAGAAGCGGCATCAGAACATACAATTGCCCTCCCGAACTGTTACAAGTAGACAGAAAAGAGAATAAGATTTACTGCAAATGATGGAAAGATGCAAATATAAATTCTGTTCATTCATTATGTTTTTATACCATGTAGCCTGCAACAGGAAGAGAACAGATTGCAGGGAGAAACCCCTTCTGCAGATGTCTTAACAGATTCGAACTTCGAGTTCCTACACAAATTAATCGATTTTGTACCTTAAACAAAGTCATCAATGTAATTTCTGTGAATAAGAAGGTGGTGCAAAACTTCCATACCACACCATAGCAGAACTTTGTTTGGCAACTTCTTTATCTCATTATAAGATGGTCCAGAACTCAAATCAACAGCAAGAATGTTCTCAACAGAAACGTCATAACTCTGAATAAATTGGATTACAATCAGCAATGAGGACTTATAATATCAATCTAACAGTGCTAAACTAAAGAGGGTTTTGCTACTTACAACTTCACCAACTTTGATTGGTTCATAGGTTTTTTCCAAGTAGTTAAGGATCATCTTATAATCTTCAGATTCTTTGTCTAGAGCAGTTATCTTGCATCCGAGCTTCTTGTAACGTTCATACATTGGGTCATCCAATGTCGAGCCACTCATGTCGCCAATTAGTCGTGAAGCTGCATTTATGTCCCTAACAGTCTCAAGAGGAGATGCAGCCTGCACAGATTTGCCCCAACATATTTATCAAAGAAAAAGAAAACTTGGGAGTATTTGTAAAATAATTCATATAAGCATGAAGCTAGTTACATGATCCGCAAGTTCCTCAAAATCCTTGAAGATGAAAGGCCTAGTAGAATGCATGAGCGTAAACCATTTTGAACTAAATTCAGACCAGAGTGCTTCAGCTTTTGGTCCTCCTTGCTCCTGTGACTTTACATCCTCTATAAATTGCAGGAGAGCATCCTCACCTGACGTAATATAAGCTTGATGTTAATCTATAACAAGGCAACATATAAGTTAAATAAATCTATTAATTAAGACTAGAATATTGTAATTACATCTTTTCAAGTGCAAATCAGTGACCATTCCTATTGGCATGTCAGGCGAATCCAAACCCAACTCCATCAAAGCGTATCTGTTAAAAAATATATATATAGGCTCAGAATATGGACATGAAAATGTTAATCTTTGAAAGTTTAGTAGAAACAAGAAAACGGAAATATAAGTACCTATAGATCTCTTGACTGCATAAAACCTTCATAAAATTTGCAGCCACAGGATCAAGTTTACAATGTGCAGCTGCTGTTCCTAGTTGCCGAAGAGCCAACCCACCATATCTCACCTCAACTCCATCGTCCTGCAGGAGTACAGTTATAAAGATATCAACAAAAACCTGAAATCCTCTATAAATATCCATAATGAATTTTAATATAACTTGTACCATATCTATAACATGGAACTTTTGTGGTTTCTTCTGAAACTTCTTTTCAGTTTCCCATGGAAAAAACTCATTTCCTGTCAATTCCTCGAAAAGTCGTGCAAATTCCTTTATTGCATCATCCACACTATCCCATTCTTCCATCCTCTCCTCTGCCTTAGGATCATCCCCTACCTTACCCTTCTTGTAATAGAGGTGTAGCCTTTTCTCAGGTACGGTGACCAGTTGGGTTATAGCGATCCTAACAGAATAGAACAGAAAAGAAAAGATTTACAAACAAGGGAATATTGATAAATCGAGTCTAACGTAATCAATGTATTTGGAAGGCCTGTTACTCATTTATTTTGCGGCCTTGGTCACAAAGAGAGAAACCACAATTGTAAAGTAAACCGTCTTTCTCCAAGATCTTCCCTCCTTGTTGCTGCAGCATGGTGTCCTTGTAGACACCTCTTTTTCCATACATTTTAAGCTGGAAATGCAAAATCAAAAGCAAATTATAAAAACTGACCTCAAAATTTCGACTAACAGATTTACAGTTGTGAATCAGAAGACTGCAGACAGGAGGAAGTTACCTCAGCAACAAGGGACTCAATGGCTTCCTCACTTGAATCCTGTTTGTCCCATGCAATACCTTTGCCATAAGCAGATCGATCTGAAACACATTCATACGCTTCTAAAGGCAGCAGCTCTTCTTTCTCGATGCAGTCCTTTAACCATGCTTCTCGTACCACCGGTATTCCCCTCTCTCTGCCCAAAAAAGATAGTGTATCAATTACAGAAATTTCACTTTCCAATAATTGCATCATATAGGGTGTTTTAGCTAATACTTACACTGCTTCAGACACTTTCGATGAGCCACCGCGTTCCCTTTCCATGGGAGGAACAACTAGGCAAGTTACACCTGCAATACAATAATGTATACATCAGTACAATGTACAAAACAACATGATGAAGTATTGCTGTGAAAATTTACCAATAGCTGTGTTGGCTACTTTGCCTCCATGTTTCTCAATTACTTGCTTCCAGTATTGCTGCAACATCACCAACAAACAGCAAAATTTTATCAATTTATTCACTAAGTTCCATCTATGAACCCACCTTGTGAAAAGAAATTATGTACATACATGAGTTCGAGAAAGCCGGCCAGACAAACATATGACCATGCCTGTGAAAGGCTTATCAGCATGATGAGGTATTTCCTTCTGATGGCGCTGACTCGGGTCTTGATATTTCTTCAGCAACTATAATCCACTCAAAAACCCAAATATAAGAGATCATAGAAAAAGAATACTTTCAAGGGTTGCTTAATCCCTCCATTTCAAAAACTTATTTTATGTCCTACTAATAAGTACAATATAAATTGAAAATGAAGATTATGGGGTATATTTCTTACATCAGAAACCGGGGAATCAAGAACCGATTCCGGCAGCTTGATAGGGTCCTGTTTTCTGGGAGGATTTTTGGTCTTATAGGTGCAAGTGGCCCATTCACTTAATTCCCCAGTGCAAGAGTAACTATTTCCAATGAACTCCAAATTGCCTCCACATACTTTACATTCCAACAATGCTCCATAATATAACAGGTCTTGGCTGAAGTAAATTTAGCAATATTCATGTCAAATATTCGAGTTTTGTACAAAACCTGGTACCCAAACAACAAATGACAGATAATAAGATGATAAGCTACTTCTAGATGAAATGGTGCAACCCAAGTCGGTTATTCCATGTTCATACTGGCCTATAGTCTCGTAAGTTTGAATATAATGTGATAAGCTCAAATCATTTGTACAAAACCTTATACCCAAACAACAAATGATAGATAATAAGATGATTAAGCTACTTCTAGATGAAATGGTGCAACCCCAGTCGGTTACACCATGTTCATACTGGCCTAGTCTCGTAAGTTTAATTATAATGTGATAAGCTCAAATCATTCGGGTAAATAGATTTCGCTTCCTATATTTGAACCAACATGAACTAACTATCCATTGAGCTCATCGTAGGGGCTTAATTATACTTCCTACAGTTCATAGATCTTAAATTAAGTGTTTCCAAAAGCTTTTAGCAAAGGGTGCATAATTGATACTAGTACTTATGTCCGAAATAGATTCACGTAAAAACGTAGCACAATAGAGGATTCTTCATAATTTAGCACTCACTTTTCAATTATTTTTGAAATCCAATGCCTTGTGAACACTTACTCCCTCCATCTTACTATCAACTTTCGGTGTATGTTATCAAAGATGTCAAAAAAAGTTTCAACCAAAGTTTAAGATCAAATTAATTTAGTGATATACAAGTATATATTCTGTGATATTTAACAGCCAAATAAACACACTAGCTTATGACTTCCCACCAATATATGAGAGCTATAAAACTACCTAGTTATAGTAAAACACAGGTCTAGCCGTATAGTAAAATTTGTGTGAGGTTAATAGCCACGTACTACCGATATAGTATGTTTGTGTTGCATTGAAAAGTTCGAATTTTGTGACTAAACCATTATCGCTACAAAGTTCATCTGAATTGATTGTCACATTGCTACTTAAAATCACACTAATGTTCTGTTCTCTTTCAGCTTAGTTACAGTCGAGTTCAATTCATTCAATTCAGTTATGTTCTAATCACTTTAGTTCCTAATTTCCTTTACTTATAAAGAATTCATTTCAGCTCTATTCAGTTCATTAAATCTAAACAAGCCCTAAATATGCTTGAAAACGAAGAAAAGTACAACTAATTTGAAAGACAACACGATAAATCGAGCTCATCTAGTTACAATAAAATTAAGGTAACAAAACATACCATCTAGAAACGACGGAGTCATCGAAACCAGTAGGGTCTTGGCCATTCAACTGAAGAATGGCCTTCATATGATCAGGAGATAGATTCTCCCTGGTGGCATTACAAAATTCTTCATACTCCTTAGAACTCGCTGATGTTACTGCTTTACCATTTGTCTTCCCATTGGTTTCATTCTCATCCTCTTGCTTCGTCTTCTTCGCGGTCCGATGATCCGTATGCTCATGCGTCTTATGTTTCCTTGTCCCGTGGTCGTGCGCTACGTGAGATCTCGTTTCAACCTATTCATATTCAATTTCATTTTCCACAGTATTAGAGCATTAAATTAAAACTAATCCCAAATTTAGTATATGTATTATACATCTGAACTACTACCTCCGTTACAGGACAGGTTATGTCCAACGATTAGACAATTTTCCACTCTGCTTTATATCAAATCGTTGCACATCACCTTTAACAGAGGTAATAATATAAAATCTAAACAATTACTACTATGCATGCAACTCTTGTTATTCTTTGTTTCGTTATGCATTGTCAAATAAGAAAAACAAATAGAGTCGGAGAGAGTATTTTAATAGGCTGCACGCCTGCACGTGTACAGCTGTGCTAGTATTGCCATGGTTACGAGTCAAAAGGTACAAACATAGGACAAGTTATTGGCCAATTTCATACGAATTGGATTACTAATTTCTCAACTCTTATATTCCTTCCAATAATTAATAATCATTTATAAGCAACACATTTTTTTTTTTTTTAAAAAGAAAGTTCTAACTTAACTTTGTACCCTAAGAGGCATTAAGCCATAAGTGATGCAAAAATCCCCAACATATATCCCAAATAAAATTCATTTCTCATGGGGCATTTTCGTGAATAAATTAATAACTTTTTCATTATTATAGACTCCACAGTTAAATAAAGTTGAATAAAATTATTGGTTTGTTTACAAAAATGTCATGTGATGATGTAAGAAATAAAATTTGTTCATCTTGAGAAATTGGAGCATTCTCAAAAAAGCTACTTCATTTACACCCTCACATGCAAAAAGAGGTAAATAAAATCAAAAGAGATACAAACTCAGCTCTTAATACTTACATACACACATTATATTCATGCATGTATAACAAAAAAAAAAAAAAAAAGTTTATTAACTAAAACAATACCTTCATCTTGCTTCCAAATCTTGTAGAAAAAGCTGTAGAAACTAGAAATTTAAGATTTTCTGATTTTTAATACTAGTAGCTAAATAGTTAGCATAATAAGAATGGTATGCATAAAGAGAAGCGGAAAAATGAAGGAGATAGTATTTGTAAACATGAAAAGGTACAAGAAAAGAAGAGACACGTACGTAACTACTTCCAATGTTGTTGCTCTTGTGTCGTATCAATTTGACAACATGTGTTTCAGAGTAGCTGTGACTTTGCCAAGTGTCATCCTCGCTGATATTTAGACCCTCCCTTTTTAGACATCTGGTTTTTATGTCTAGGATAAGATTTTTTACAATTAGCATGATAATAATGGTATTTTATAATTTTATTAGTGAAATATACAATGAGGATCCGTGGCGCAATGGTAGCGCGTCTGACTCCAGATCAGAAGGTTGCGTGTTCGATTCACGTCGGGTTCAATTTCCCGATCCTCACACGGATAAATTTTTTTTTTTCTAAACACTCACCTTATTGATTTTATCAATTTTAATGTGTTCCATGATTTAATTACAGATATTTGATGGAGTAGAAGATTTTAATTTACACTATTTTAAGCTTTATATTCACCTCAAACTGCATACACCACCATATAAGGTATGTGAGTATGTCATATTATCACATACTCATTTTTTAGATTTGTTGAAGTTAATTGTTACAGACTTACTGAGTAATCCACAAGTACAATCTTTTGCTCTAGATAAAGTATCTTCAATTAGACACTTAGTAATCCACAACTAGTATAAATAAACATTATTGTAACACTATTCACGCTTGCCAATGCAATGTATATATAACTAATATATTTAATTCTCAGGTCTCATTATTAAGCAAGGCAGTAATCTCCTTATCCATAGCATCAACCCAAATAGGATCAGCAGCAGCTTCAGTATAGGTAAGAGGCTCATGAATAGCACAAGAATTAGCAAGGAAACACATGTGAGTAGGAGAATAAGACCTGAAAGAAACAAGACCACACCAGTGTTCTGTATCCTGAGAGTCTGCAGTAGCTGTGTTGCATTGATATATATCACATTTGGATGGGATTTAATGAGGTCTTGCTGATTTTCTGGGAGCAGGATCTTGTGAAACTGAAAGATGTAAAAATAGGTGTATTTGTAGGAAAAACAGATGATGGTTGTGGTGTGGAATCTGGTGTGAAATTTGTAGTTTGAGAAAGAAAAATGTCAGGAGATATAGAAGACGAAGAAGAAGAAGATGAAGAAGAAGAAGGATCAGAAAAGAAAGAATGATAAGGAAAGTAAGAATCAGAGAAAATTTCATCATTAGAAGGAAGAGAAGTAGAAGCAGGAAGATAGATAGCAGAAGAAAGAAAAGAATCAGGATGTTCTTTTCTGTAGAAGAGATGATATGGGAAGTGTTTTTCATGGAATTTTACATTTCTGGTAACTTTGATCTTGAGTGTGCTAAGATCTAATAACTTGTAACCTTTGTGACTTACTGAATATCCCAAGAAAACACAAGGTTCTGCTCTATCATCCAGCTTATTTCTATGAACTCTAGATGTTGTTGCAAAACATAAACAACCAAAAATCCTCAAATGTGAAAGATCAGGAGCAAAACCATTAAGTCTCATGAAAGGAGAGTCATTATTAATTACCCTCAAAGGCATTCTATTCATCAGATAAACAACACACAAAACACAATCACCCCAAAACCTGTCAGGTACCCTAGATTGAATCACTACGTGAACCAACGTAATTGGCACCGGTTCAAAACCCCTCAATGCCACCGGTTTTGAACCGGTGCCAATGTGGGGGGTGCCAATTGCGAGCATGAAAAGCCACCGGTTCAAACCGGTGGCAAAAACAGTTTTTGGCACCAGTTAACCGATGCCAAAAATGGCCCAAATTTTTTTTTCCATTGTTTTTGGCACCGGTTAACCGGTGCCAAAAATGCCCATTATATATATAATTTTTTTATTTGTCATTTTTCACTTAACAATTAAATCAAAAAAAAAAAGAACATCACAATTAAATCTGACGAATTTCAATCAATATAATCCAAATTTTACAATATATAATCAAAAAAAATTACAATCAATTACAACATATAAATAAATAAATAAAATTTACATTATATATCAAAAAAATTACAATATACTCGTAAATAAAAAAAATAGAATATAAATAAATAAACCTACACATCTAAATCAATATTCTTGAATCTTGATTCTTCAATTTAAGATCGAAATTGATGTACCTGCACCAATTAAAACAAAAAATATATATATAAATAAGCTTCGAAAAACAAAAAAAAAAACCAGAAATTCAATCCAAAAAATTCAAACCCAGAAAAATAAAGCAGGAATTCAAACCTAGAAAAAAAAAACAAACCAGAAATTCAAATGTATGACAATCGAATTGAAACCCAGAAAAAAAAATAATAAACAAGAAATCGGAAAAAAAAAATTAAAATGAAATCCAGAAAAAAAAAATCAAAATGAAACCCAGAAAAAAAAAAATCAACCCAGAAAAAAATAAAAAACACATGCAATAAACCCAGAAAATCCAACCTCGAAATCGAAATTGAAAAAAAAAATTAACCCAGAAAAAATATAACCCCAGACATCGAAAAAAAATGAAAATCGAAAAAAAAAATAAACCCTGAAAAATTGAAAAATTAAACCGAATTAAAATCCAAAATCAAACACATGCAAGAACCCATAAAATCGATTTAAATCCAGAAAGTCGAAAAAAAACACATGCAATAAACCCAGAAAATCGAAATCAGAAATCGAAATCGAAAAAAAAACACATGCAATAAACCCAGAAAATCGAAATCCGAAAATCGATTCAAATCAATTAATGAAACCCCAGAGAAAATTCGAATTAAAATCCAAAATCAAACCCAAAAAAACACCCAATAAATACAAACCCAGAAAAATCGAAAAATTAAACCCAAAAAATCAAACCCATCTTGATTAGATTCGTTGTTGTTCGTGGTCTTGGGTATTGGACTTGGTGGTGGTGTTGGTGGTCGTCTTCGGTGGTGTTTAGGTGAACAAGGGGTTTTTTTTCAGGGAGAGGAGAGAGGAGAGAGAAGAGAGGAGGCTAGAGGAGATCAGGAGAGAGAAGAGAGGAGGCTGATCTCGGGAGGCCGAGTATGAGGGAGGGTAGGGTTTAGGGAAATATATAAGGGTTTTTTTTTAAAAAAAAAAAAAAGGTTTTTGCCACCGGTTTGAACCGAACCGGTGCCAAAAACCTCTTCTAAAAAACCCGCCTACTTTAACCCATGTTTTTGCCACCGGTTTTGAAGAACATGTGTCATTCTACTTTTATCACCTAGTGAATGAACAAAGCCCTAGTAGTCTCTAATATGTGTTTATGCTTCCTTTCAACTACACCATTCTGTTGTGGTGTATCACTACAACTGGTTTGGTGAAAAATATCATGATCTGCCAACAACCTCTTCATGTCACCCTCAATCAACTCTTGAGCATTATCAGATCTAATTACCTTAACTCTAGCATTATACTATGTAGAAATTAAGGCAAAGAAATCAAACATAATTCCAGCAACCTCAGATTTATTCTTTAAAAGATGTACCCAAGTAAATCTTAAAAAATCATCTACTATTGTCAAGAATTGATTACAACCAGTATGAGTTTTGACAGAGTGAGGACCCCAAAGGTCAATATGAATAAGCTCAAAAGGGGAAGAAGTTTGAATACTACTAGTAGGAAAGGGGAGCCTACACTGCTTAGCTCTAGGACAGACTTGGCAAATAGTAGATGCCAGGCAGTTATTTACATCACAATCAGGTTTAACCACCTTAAGTTGTCCAAAAGACAAATGTCCTAGTCTAAGATGCCACAGCTTTGCTTCTTCAACTGCATCTTGACTAGCCTTATTATCTGAGACTAAGGTTGTTCTGTTACTAGCTTCCTGTTCTTGAAATTTATACAGTCCTGCTCTCATATTACCAAGATGAATCAACTGTCCTGTCTGTGTTTGAACAAAACACTTGTCATGAGTAAAATGTAACTCACAACACAGGTCTTTGCACAATTTGTGCACAGAAATCAAATTAAATTTGAAATCAGGCACATGTAAAACATTTAGCAAAGATATCTCATCATTCAACTTAACTACTCCAGTATTTTTAACCAAAATTCTGCTTCCATCAGGAATAGTAATGTAATAAGGTGTAAGAACAGGGGTAAGTTTAGCAAACAATGCAATATCTGAGAAAATATGATCAGTTGCTCCACTATCAAGCAACCATTTATCAGCTGAACTAGAGAATAAGCAAAGATTACCTGCCATCATAGCATAACCCTTTGCATTGATCTCCTTGGCTTCTGCTTCCTTTTGAGACTTCATGTAAGGCATGAATTGATTGTACTGTTCTATAGTGACATGATCACCAGAAGATTCATCAGTCTCCATTGCTTCCTGATCAGCAGAAGACATAGCAGCAACACGTTTATCCTTGAATCCTTTGAAATTAGGAGGATAACCGTGCAGTTTGAAACATCTGTCAACACTGTGCCCTGGTATTTCACAATGAGTACAATAGAACCTAGAATCAGGTTTATCAAACTTCTGATCACCAGCAGATGACCTAAACTGTGTCTGAACATTTGGCTTAGAAAAACCAAGAGGCTGCGACCTGAAATTCCTGCCAGAATTAGAATTGGTAGCTGAATTGTAGAATTTTCTTCTTTCAGCCAAAAAAGCCATAGACTCTGTGTTAGTTACTGTTTGTCTGAGAGATTTCCTTGTGTTTCTCCTCCTGAGCAAACATTCTATATGCCTTAGTCACTTTAGGAAAAGTAGGCATCATCAACAAATTACCTCTCACAGTAGCAAACTGATCAGACAACTTCATCATGAATTGAATGACCATTTCCTGTTGATGCCTCTCTAATACTCTCTTTGTCAATTGACAAGTACAATAAGGTAAAGGATGTGCTTCATCAATTGCATCCCAAACAGACTTGATTGAGGTAAAAAATTCAGACACAGATTGATTTCCTTGACTAACTTCGGCTAATCATTGTTCTAAAGCATAAATCTGAGCTAGAGAAGTATATCCAAACCTTTCTTCGAGATCTAACCAAAT